CAGTAGGGGGTTTGTGAACAACAGGGTTGGAGAAGCGAGGAGCGAGAAAAGTGCTATTTCTTCTAGGTTTGTTTCTGATCCTTTCCCTTTCTCTTAGCCTGTTATCTATCTGTATCATATAAGTTATATACTCGTTAAGTTTTTCTGGCAAGTCTCTGGTAGCAACCTCATCTGCAATGGTATTGGACAGGCCTTCAGCGAAAGCGATGACAAGGCCACTGTTTGTCCAATCCACCTCTGAGGCAAGTGTATGAAACTCAATTGCATAATCAGCAACAGAGCAATTGCCCTGTCTAATGCGCATGAGGTTTTTTTTTCTACATCCTTTTCCTTACCTTATGTTTCAAAAGTTAGCTTGAACTCAGCTAGGAATTCTGCATAATCATATGCGATAGACTTGTTGCCCAGGTTAATGCCTTCCCTTTCAACTGATTCATCACCAATCTTGGATCTATAGGAAGGAAAAGAGTCGGGGGGCCTCAAAGTGGTACTCAATTTGGTTAAGAAAACCACGGCGTTCCTGAGCATTACCATTGAAATGAATGGGTGGTAAGAGGTATATAGACGGAGCTTTGTATATTATGGGTACAACAGCAACAGGAGGGGTTGGAGGAGGTCGTTGATCCTTCGGTTGGAGGTGAGCAGTACGGGCCAACAATGTCTAAAAGGCCTGGGCGAATTTATCCATATGGTGATCATTATCTTCCAGCCTTCTTTCAAAAGCCAACATGTGTTGACTTATCTCTGCAGGGTCAATGACCCTGTCGTAATGTCAGGGCGAACCAGTGGCCCAACAGGCAGAATTAAGTAAAAACACGTAACAAAGACAAACAGTAACAACATATTACTGGGCCTTAGAATGGCCAGAATTAACATTATAGAATAAACAGTCACGAGCTGAGGTAAAAAATACAGAAAGGAACAAATACTACTGTTGGTATGTGTTCCTTTCTGTATTTCTGACTTCGGCTCGTCAAAGCCAAAGGGTCAGGGATACCAGAAATACAGAAAGTCCAGCCAAACCAAGATCACTGAACAACTGCAGGTTTTGGTTTAAATAACCCAGTAAACCCTGCTATTGGCTGATCTGGGTCCCATGACCCCAGAACAACCATGCATGGTGACAACCGCACGCACATTCACGTCACTAGTGATGTCATTGTGGGAGGCGTTATTAAATAGCGCTGCCGTCTGGCGTCCTTCCTAACGCTGGACACGGCCGCTGTATTAAGGACTGCAGGCTCTGGAGGTAAGGTGAGTAACGGTCACATCATGGTACCGATCGTGCACTGCGATAATATGACCACTCCAATCTGGTGCGGTCACACTGAGGTGCCAATCAGGCACCGTGACAGTAGTTACACACGATTGACAATAAATTACGCTTGCTCGATAGGTTAAATACTATTTCAGTATACATGTCTTCGTTTACATATTTATATATATTTCCTCAAAACTCGGTACACATTTTGTTCTTCTATAGTGATGTCCCGAACGGTTCGCCGCGGAGGGAGGGTCTGCTGCTGATTGGCTGGAATGTGTCTGCTGACTGTGAGGTACATGGTCAAAGTTTACTCAATGATGAGTTTGTGGCGAACCGTTCGAGAACCATTTGGCGACCCGTTCGGGACATCACTATTCTTCTATCATACCACGCATTTTTGGTGCCTATATCAGTTGTTAGCAAATTTGCTAGTGAAACCTAGGACAGAGGTGTTCTTCCAGCAATCTTGCTTCAGGTATATTAATTTCCTTTCGTTCATATATTTCGTTAAACTGGTACATTAATGCCTCACACTGCCTTTTACGTTTACACGTTGTGCTCAGTTAAGGGGCCTTAAGAAAAATTCACAGCCACTCCAAATGTGAAAGCCGCAGGCAAATTTATTGCAACAAAATGAACTACTTCTACTAGTTTTATTCGTGCTGTTGGTCGCATGCCCTTATATGCCATTCGTGTACTTGATGATACGAACGCCCACTTTCTTGTTACAAGTATGTTTTGTTTGTGCTTACAGCAATTAGACTAAGTGCCTTTCGCACACTTGTGCGCATACTCCGATATGCCGTTCGTGTAACTAAACACAAAATGTTTCGATATGTCTCCTATGCCTGCCCGTAGGAGGTGAGTTCACAATCCTGTGTTCCATCAGCCTGGTATGTGTTCCATCTATCCGGAAATGAGTTGCATTTGGATGCTATGATAGACATTTCATTTTTATTTGTTTTATGTTTTTTATTTTCTTTTTTTGTTTCCTTCTTCTTTTTTTTTTTCTTATTTTATGCTGTCTCCTCTACATGGCACAAATGGATAAGCTGATGATTTAATTATTACACATGTTATATTTATATATACATATTTTGTGTATTTTATAGTAATTGTGTATCTTTGCATCAATTATTTCTCTTTTCTCTTGTTAATGAATTTAATGTATTATTGGTTGATTTCTTTTCTGACATTTACTTTGTGTATTTTAGAGTATTTGTGTATTTTTTTCCACTAATTAGTGTTTCTTGTTAATGAATTAAGTAAATTATTGATTGATTTCCTCTCTGGCACTGTTTGCTATATATGCACTTTATTTACTGTGTGGTGTTAGCTTGACAAAGACCTCCTGTTAGGTCAAAACATTGCTGTTCATTTTGTTGCAATAAATCTGCCTGCGGCTTTCACATTTGGAGTGCCTGTGAACTTTTCTTATTGCTTTGTCGTATTGGGATTGCTGGTCCTGTTCCAGAGCACCTATGGGCGTTGGGAGTGAGTGCGGTTCCTGCAACCAGCTTTTGCTATACAGTTAAGGGGCTTGTCTCATTGCATTGGACCCACGTTAGGTCCTCAATACCATTAAGTTACATTCTTACAAAGTTCTTCTGTTGTACTATCTGTTTTCCATCTTTGACAATTACTACTTTAAGACAAATACAGAGAATTACTCCAACACATATCAGCTCTGTTTAGGGTACGTTCTGTATATATACACAAAGCTATAATCCAGTACTTCAGTTATCATAGGTTAATTGCTTGATCTTTTTTCAGATAGGTGTCATTTCCAGCTACATCCTCCCTCCAGCTTTTCTACTCTGTTTCTATTTTTCAGCCTATTTAGGTACGTAGGTTACGTTGCTTCTTATAAGACAAGCCCCTGTTAGGGATAGGGAACTGGCTGCAAGGGTTGGGAGCTGGCCTTACTACTTGGTTTATGTTATTGTTCCCATGAGGCCAACTCACCACCTCTCGCAGAGGTATCGCCCACAATGCCCTACATTAGATTAATTGTCTCATATCCCCTTCTGCAGGGGTTGTTTAGAGTACCACATGCCACTGCCATATGCATTTTTACTCTGTTCTGTCACCGAGAGGACAACATCCCGCCACACCGATTTGTGGCCACATAATTTCCCCACGGGCCAAATCATAGGTAGAGAAAAAAGAAAAAACCAAAGGTACAAAACAATGTGAATCACCAAAGTGACAAACAATAATAAATATATACAAACTGGATTATGTGGAAATATTCTGTCTCAGAAATATATCTGAAAAATATATAAAAACTATATAGTGTGATATTGTTACATCTAAATAGAAGCAAAGGTGGTAGAGAACTCACAAAATTAAGATGAAATCAAGCGTGTCTCCCTCAATGAATAGGGAACTGCAGCAGTATAGAGGACCAGCGATGATCCTGTATATATGGTTGTAGATCTCATTCACTCCAAGTAAAGAGAAAAATAGATAGTGCAGATGGTACACAATATAACAATTTATTTTTAAATAAGTTGCACTTACAATGTTGCAAATTAAAACCAGCGTATCTCCACACTAGGTGATGTCCACATGCAGCTGCTAATCCAATAGCAGTACAGGTAGGTAGAGCCTCTCTTCTCCACTTGGCAATTAGCAGGGATTCACCTGTCACAGGGCAGTTAAGTTCTTTGCCACTGGCACTGGCTAGCAAGCCAGTTCTATATACGGGATTGGCTTTCAAAATAGTATTTGATTTACTAATCTCTTTATAGGATGTCGCAAGAATTAATCCAAGGAGATGACTTGTCTCTCCAGGGCACTCCTTCCAGGCCTAGTACGCCCGTTAGACCAAGCTCACCTGCTGAATCTCTCATTCCAGCTACCCTCGGGTCTCTGAGATCCTGGACCATTCCTAAACTGGTGGCAGCACTACGCCGTAGGAATGTTCCTTTCCCAGCCACAGCTAGGAAAGTGGAATTCTATAAGCTACTAGCGGTCCAGTCTGGCGATCCCAGGCCCGGCACAAGCTCCCATGCCAGTGGTTTGGGACAAGTTCAAGACACCTTGTCATCTATCTTGTCTACCCTTCAGTCGCTTAACGAGAGGATGACCAAGATAGAAACCCCAATGGTTATCAACGCATCTGATGTTCCAGCCCCCGCACCTGCACCCTCAAATACACAGGGTAGTGCCATTACTATTACTCACTCCACGTCACACGTTATCGCCCCTGCACATTCGGTTCCAGCTTCCATTAAGAAAGACATTCTAGATGGCAAGGATGTCAGCCTAGTCTCTCTCCTTATTGCTTCACAGGACATTTTAGAAAATAGAGCTTTTAATTACGGAGGTATTTCCGTGATCCTCAAAACAAGGGACCCACGTCTTAACAAAAAACTCTCCATCCCCGAATTCGTTCTCAGCTTTGGACTATACAGAGATGTCATCTGCTCTGTATACCCTCAGAGGCAATCGACCTCTATTTACACAAGGTGGTGGATCTAGGGCACAAGTATGTCACACTAGAATACCCTAACTTACGCTCGGCTACAAACGACCTATCTGCTGTTGACGAGTTGCTACGGAAAGAGACCATGTCAGGTTTTATGATTGGTCCTTTTCCGCACACTCCTTTTTCCACATGGCGAACAAACCCTATTGGAGTGGTTATAAATAGTGATGTCCCAAACTGTTCGCCAAATGGTTCGCCACGGACTCTTCATTGAGTAAACTTTGACCCTGTACCTCACAGTCAGCAGACACATTCCAGCCAATCAGCAGCAGACCCTCCCTCCCAGACCCTCCCACCTCCTGGACAGCATCCATTGTGAAGCTGCATTCTTAGTGAGCTGTCCAGGAGGTTGGAGGGTCTGGGAGGGTCTGGGAGGGAGGGTCTGCTGCTGATTGGCTGGAATGTGTCTGCTGACTGTGAGGTACAGGGTCAAAGTTTACTCAATTATGAGTCCGTGGCGAACCGTTTGCTGAACAGTTCGGGACATCACTAGTTATAAACAGCACATCTAATAAAAAACATTTGATCATTGATTTGTCCGTGCCTCATTCCTCTCACAATCCTAGTTTAAATTCACTAATACCGGCTGAAGAATTTTCTCTCCATTTCACCACCGTGGATCATGCCATACAAGCTATTCTACTGGCCGGTAGCATCCTTAGCAACACAGCACTGTTTTCAACAATAGCTGTTGCATTGTCCCCTGACAAAACCATAGGCCGCACAACACAGTTGGTATTCTGGGTATCTCACTAGACTCTATGCAGGCATGGCTCCACGATGTGAAATTGATGCGTGTTAGACAAGAACGAAAAAAAGTTCAGGCAGACAGAGGGATCTCCAGTCTTTACTAGGATACCTCAATTTTGCGATGCGTATTATTCCAAAGGGGAGATCCTTAATCTCCAGATTGCCTCCTGCCCGACGATGGCACCATAGTCCTCAATCCCACAACCGTAGCCGATTTATGCATGTGGAGGCACTTCCTTGCAGAGTGAAATGGCATCTCCATGTTCATTCCCCCACTGACTGACCACTTGGACTAATGCAGCAGCCCACACTGGGTTCACTGCAGTTTTTGGTAACTACTAGCTTAGGGATGTTTGGCCTCTAGAAACACTTATCTTACCGGCCTTCAGCCCTTTCTGAGATCTACCCCATTGTAGCAGCTGCCCATACTTGAGGTCACCTGTGGGCCGGTAAGGCAGTCAAGGGTTTCTCAGATAATTTTGCTTTGCTTGCGAGATCATCAATAAAGGGCACTCTTCCCACTTGACCATAATTCGATTGGTATAAAAATTGACGTGGCTGGCCGCTAAACTACAATTTTTCTTCATTCAGAACACGGCAGCTGATGCTTTGTCCCGGTGTAATTTTTAGGCATTCTACAAGGTGCATCCCTCCGCCAAAGTGCTCCCATACACAATACCGACATTTCCGGAGCTAATCCTGAACTAATCCATGCACGGTCACTCTCACGCATACTCTGTCAGCCAACACTAAGACAGCATACGATAGGGCGTTGATTGTTTTCCGCAAATTTGGTGGGGAATTTCACATTTTGGATAATTACTCTACTCTATAGAGACTCTATAGAGACCATGGTGACCTCAAATTAGCACATAACATTATCAAATTATATTTTACAGGTATACAGCACCACATCCTCACTACCTTTCCCAATCACCCACCTTTTCTTTCTACATACCCCATTGAAACCATTCTTAAAGGCATCAACCTCCTACTACCAATAGATTACCCATAGATGGACCCATATTCAGGAACATATCAGATCTATTAGACAAAAAACCCTTTAATGTCGAGACTAACGCTATCATCAAAGTAGCCATTTACATCGCCTTCTACAGCTTCCTTAGACCCCGAGAGTTCACTGTGGTCCGTAAATCCGATATCAGCATATGTTTAAAATTATCGGACATGGTCAAACACGGCGACCATTATGTTATGTCTTTACATACATCTAAGACTAACCACACTAACTATTCTACTACAATCCCTCTCTTTCCAACAGATAACCTCTGGTGTCCCGTTAAAATACTCGACTCATTTCTATCCACGCGCAACAGTCTCCCAGCTCACGCTCCCTTACTGTAATGAATATGCCCAACACGCAGAGTGTAAATCACCAGAACCACAAAGGTAGATAGAGAGAGCCCCTATACCGGTCCTTAGAATGGCTGGGCTGAAAGGAGCTAGCGGAGCCAGAGACAAGCCAAGGTCAAAGGAGAACAGAAAAACACAAAAGCGAGGAACAAGCCGAGTCAGGAAACCAGAAACCAGAGGAGTCAAGGGAAAGCCGAGTCAAAACACAAAGAAGCAAACAAGAACGCACTGAGGAGGCACTAGGAACACATGAAACACTAGGAACCACAACAGGGCACTGAGTTCAAGGCAGGCTGGGCTTTTATATGATTGGGGACATAACCACGCCCCCAAAAGGTACAAGTCATTTGAGCTCTTGTGTTTAGAGCTCTTTTGTTTAGAACTCTTTTGTTTAGTGCTCTTTTGCTAACATGTGACTGCATTACCCCTTTAAAAGGGGCGGGTGTACAATGGCCGGCTTCCTTGATGCTTAATGTATCTATCTTCTGTGTGGGAGCGGCTGTCCGCCTGATTCTGCTGTCGGCGGATCGGGGGACTGGCAAGGTAAGTGTCCTGTTTCTTACACTTACTACTGCTTCACGGACACCCACTTACCAGTTACAAATTCATATTTCACGTTAGAACATTGCTGCTAAGATTGGGACATAACCCCGCCTCATTTTCTGGTCACTCCTCCAGTACGGACACATCAGTCAATATCATTAAAAGAATGGGCAGATGGAAATCCTCTGTCTACAGCACATATATCCCGCAGCCTGAGAAAGAACTCAGGATAGCTTTTAAATGTTTAGCATTATGAGTATGCAATAAAGTGTGTTTTGCTCTCTCTCCTGCATCCTCCTCCACTCTCAGTTACTTCTTCCGTGTCCTGTCAGCCCGCACGGTCTGTATGCTGGGAGGAAGTAACATTCACTTCCTCCCAGCACTCTCTGTAAAATTTAAGGGGCCTGATCTGCCAAGAGGCTGCAGCACCCGACTGGGCCCCTGATGAGGTAGTTCCCCTATAGGAGCTGTACTAATTTCTCAGGAGGGGTAATTGCCCCCCCACCCCCCAGAATTGGCTGCGGAACAGCTTAGCTCATTCCGGGACACTACATTGTCCCGGAATGAGAGTGCCCGGGACATACTCTCAAAATACGGGACTGTCCCGGATGATCCGGGACACGTGCAGTGCCATCTTAACAGCATTATGGGCCCCCGGACAAAGCAGTGCACTGGGGCCCTGCCTACACAACAACTTACAGGAATAAAAATGAACATTTTCGATAAAATTAAGCTTATATTTATTGGTACCTCCAACAAATGCAATATATACATACAGACTGCTGAATACGCACACACCGACTGTTGAATACGCACACACCGACTTCTGAATACATGCACACAGACTGCTGAGTACACACACAGACTGCTAAATACATACACAGTCCGCTGAATACAAACACACACACAGACTGATGAATATACACTGTAGCGGACTAGCCCCTGTACAAGAGTCTGCCTCGGTTTCCTGGAGGGGGCTGTTTGCTCACCTCCTGCCCAGTGATTATGGTCCCGGGAAGATGGGACCCTTTAAACACCATGGCTGGGCTTAATGGGATTTTTGTATGGTACTACTGGCCCTTTAAGAACCAGTCAAGGGCGTATAATATAATATTGCAGAGACTTCGGACTATATAAATTATGCAGCACAGGACATTGAGCTGTCTACCAAAATTTGTGTATTTTAAAATGCTTTTGTGTATTGCTATTCCATGTATTCACATTGTATGCAGCATTCGTCTGATTGTTTGGTAAAATCACTCCGTTTACTATACAAGTGAAACTACCGAACAATCAGACCACCCCAGGGAAAAGTGTGCCTCTCATTACCGTTTGCAACAATGTTGCAATGTTGCAATCGGTACTTTGTTCTATGGGTGGCCGCCATTCGGGATACGAACACGTGGCAGCGGCCATCTTAACTCCCGAACAGCGGTGTTTGGTTGTCGAGTGTCTGGAACCCAAATCGGACACTCGACTAAGCAAACACCGCTGAGACCTCCAGACTTCCATAGCTTTGTGCGGAAACAACAGATCGAGCCGCCGTTCAGTAGAAAGACTCATCCGAACAAGGGGATTCACATGAAGGCAAGCAACAGCCATTTCATTCGGTATTTTCATCCGTTTATACCCACGAACCAAGACTGACTGCAAGGCCAAAACTTATTAAACTATTTTCGGCTACTGTTACCTGTGCGGTCAGTCAAAACTTTACTCTTCTATAACTCCCGAACCCCTGGTCCGATCTGGGTGATTTTTGAGTATGTTACTCACCCAGATCAGGGCTATCAGGGGATCCCCTATTTAGGAGTGTACCCCATGTATTTGGGGTACAGCCAGAAACTGGGGAAATACTGTACACCGATTTAAGTGGGTTATGTTTCATGCTGAGGGGAGGAGATGTATGGGAGGTAACATGTGTTGGTTACTGTATTAATTACTGTGGGTGTCTCCCTTGCATGGGAGAATTGCTTAAAAGCAGGCATGTGAAATTAAACCTCAGTTCAGTTCTGCTCCTGATACTGTGTGTCGTCCAGTTATTGGGAAAGTTGATAGGATACTATTGGATTGTGCTGCTGGATTATTCTCTCACTGTGGGTACTGTGCGTACTGTGCCTGGGATTATTACTTGTTCCTGAGCCACACCTGGACTACCAGCGGAGAGACCAGTGTTCCGCTACATACACAGACTACTGAATACACACACAGACTGCTAAATACACAGAGACTGCAGTGTATGTGTGTGTGTGGTGCAGTGTATGTGTGGTGCAGTGTGTGAATGAGGGGTACTGTGTGTGTGTGATGTGTACGAGGGGTGCTGTGTTTTGTGCAAGGTGTGGTGTGTGTGTGTGTGAGGGGTGCTCTGTGTGTGGGGGGGTTCTGTGTGTGTAAGAAGTGCTGTGTGTGTAAGAGTTGCTGTGTGTGTGAGGGGTGCTGTATGTGAGAGAGGTGCTGTGTGTGAAGGGTGATGTGTGTGTGTGTGTGAGGGGTGCTGTGTGTGGGTGGGTCGTGTTTGTGTGTTGCAGAGTGTGAGGGGTGCATGGAGCAACTGTTTTCTTGTTTGTTTTTTTAAATATTAAATCTACATGCCCTCCCCCTCCCCAAACCTTTCTTCTTACCTTTAGTGAAGGGGGGGCACACTGCCAACTGTCTCCAGTCCTCTCGAGCTGATCGTTGTGTGGAGCATTGCTACAGCAATGTGTGGCAACTCTTCACACAGCCTGCTCGTGGGGGGAGCGATACC